AAAGTTATTACAGTAAAAGACACATTGCCATTAATCCCCCTCAAAATACTCCACCTCGCTTTGAACACACATATTTCCTCGTTCATGCCACTTTCTGAAGCACTTCTGGAAGTCCTCTTTTGTGAGTGTGTTTAGTTGCACTGTCGTGGCTACCTCGATGTCCTGAATCATTTTGACTTTGGGGAAGAGCTAGAAGTCACACGGTGCCAGAGCTGGTGAATAAGGTGTATGAGGACACACTGCAGTGTTTTTATTTGACAGAAATTGCCATATATTAGAAGCGATGTGTGACACGGAGCGTTGTCACGATGGAGGATGAAACCATTTGCCCATTTCATGTTAATGCATTGTTCTTGATCCATGGTGTACGGCACCCTTTAAAACACACCTTCTCGCAACCGTAGCTCACACCCGACTGACTGCACCAAACAAGTTAAAACTTGTCACACACTGTCACTAAGGTTCAACGTGCTACTTTACGCATTGAAGATCCCTGCCTTTCTGTTGGATGGCACTCGGCAGCAGCATTCACTGTATTTTTTTTTTTTTAACTGGGGAACAGGGTGTTTTTCCAGGACCCATCAGCTCCAAGTCAAATAGTTGTTTCAGTCTGGTTGTGGAGGGCATATCTCAGTGGCCCATGTGGGGATCGAACCGGCAACCTTGGTGTTATGAGCACTGCACTAGAACCAACTGAGCTAACTGGCCGCCCCCAGTATTTCTTGATCACACCTCATACTTTGTATGTTTTCAGTTCTTTTTAATGTATTAAGGCTTGTTTCATGGCCTAACATATGGTCTATCCTGGAGAATGTTCTATGTACACTTGAGAAGAATGTACATTCTGCTGTTAATAGGGTGGAATGTTCTATAGACGTCTTGTTAGATCTAGTTGGTTTATAGTGCTGTTCCGTGTTTTGTTTCTTTTTCCTACAGGCGAGACCTGGAACCCCTTCAAATTACAGTACCAGCTGAGAAATGTAAGAGAGCGAATTGCTAAGAACCTAGTAGAGAAGGGTATTCTAACCACTGAGAAGCAGAACTTCCTCCTATTTGACATGACAACGCATCCAGTGACCAATACAACCGAGAAACAGCGACTAGTGAAAAAACTTCAAGATAGTGTCCTAGAGCGGTGGGTAAATGACCCTCAGCGTATGGACAAACGGACTCTAGCACTCCTGGTGCTAGCCCACTCCTCTGACGTGCTGGAGAACGTCTTCTCCTCTCTGACAGATGACAAGTATGATGTGGCAATGAATCGGGCCAAGGACCTAGTAGAACTGGACCCTGAAGTGGAGGGGACAAAGCACAGTGCCACAGAGATGATCTGGGCTGTGCTGGCAGCCTTCAATAAATCCTAAAGCTAGCACGTGGGTTTTCCCTTCCTCCCCTGCTGGCTTGGTGACTGTCAGAGACACCATCACTGAGTTTTGTGTGATGAGATGTTTTTCATCATTTTTCTTTCCTTCTCTTGAATCAGACTTGGGATTTGAGGAGAGCAACTTCAGGGCTTCTCCACAGACCTTTGACCGCTATGAGCAGACTTGATTCCTCCCTAGACTTGCACTCCAGGGGCGAATAAACTAGGTGAAACCACACATGCCCAATAAACATTTTCTGTCATTTCTTGGTTTACTTTCATCCAGTGTGCTTTGGGACAAGCAAGATTATCTAAGTGGGATTTGGAGTTTTCCAGCCATAGAGGGCGAATGAGATGTAGAACAAACCATTGGTTACATTTTTTTTTTAAGTCTTGCTTTCTATCTTCAATACATGTTTCCACTCTTTGTCTCTCAGACTCTTCTAAGTCATGTAGTTTATGAAAATAACTGTCCCTTTGAATAAGGATCAATGGAAACAAAACTCGTTTTTGGAGCAGGTGATCTCTGGGATTATATATCCCACTAGTGATTTTCTCATGTTCCTATTCTAGCCTAATGAGAATGTTCCAAATTTGAGTACCTGGTTCTCACAGCTCTAGTACCAGAAATATATGCTCTACTTTTTCTTAGCATTATCCTACTCCATTATTCATTAGGACAGAAGTCGAAATGAAAGAAATATATTTATCTCTCAGCCACCTCCTTCATGCAGGAGGTGGCATCAGGGCTTGGCACCCGTTAGCACACGACTGTCCTGGTTCCTCCAGGCTCCTTTGAGCTCTCTACTCTGACCGAATCCAGAGACTTATAAACTTCAGTTGCTGAATAGCAGCATCCTGAGTCTAGACAGTATCTCTAAACTCCAGATCCTCTTGTTCCCTGTTTTTGGCTTCCTACGTAAATGGATAGGTTCTGTCTACCTTTAGAGGGTTCTGGAAGTAGTTTTGTCTGTTTAACCCACAGATACCTCCTAGTCCTTCATCTTGTTTCAACACACCCATCCTTCTAACCAAATCTCTAAAATGTTTTTCAGTTGAGGTAATACAAAGAGAAGCTTATCAAGAAAAACCCTAGTTGGAGGGTTGGTTTGGTGTCTAAAGCATGCTGACAGAAAGTTCAGATTTGGACTAGCGGACAGGCCTCAAACTGTGCTAACATCAAGCNGGCATCATACCTTAATGGTAAACTTTTTTTTTAACTTTTTGGGTTTTCTTTATTGGGAAACAGTGTGTTTTTCCAGGACCCATCAGCTCCAAATCAAAGTAGTTGTTTCAATCTAGTTGTGGAGGGCGCAGCTCAGTGGTCCATGTGGGGATCAAACCGGCAACCTTAGTGTTATGAGCACTGTGCTCTAACCAACTGAGCTAACCGGCTGCCCCAATGATTAACATTTTAAAGAACCATGTCCAGTTTGTCATTATGATCCACTTCAGATATTATTTTTGTCTCCCCACTGTCATTCCATACTAGATTTTAAACTTCTGGGGGACAGGAATAGGGACTGTTTTTCACAGGCAGCACCATTTTGCATTCCTTTCTACAATATGTGAGAGTTTTAGTTCTTCCACGTCTACTACACTTATTTTCTGTTTTTTTTTTATTTTTGCCATCCTAGTGAGTATGTAGTAGTATCTTACTGTGATTTTTTTTGTGTGTTTGTCAAATGACTAATACATCATTAGTCATTGAGCTTCTTTATATATGCTTATTGGCCATTTGTATATATTCTTTGGAGAATTGTCTATTCAAATCCTTTACCTACTTTTTAAATTGATTTTACCTTTTATTTTTGAGTTGTACTTTATTGGGTTGTCAGAAAAGTCATGACGCGTTTTTGCAACGAAAAACAGAAAAAATACGTCATGACTTTTCTGACAACCCAATATATCTATTCTAGATACAAATCTCTTATCTGATACATGAATTGCAAAAGTTGTCTTCCATTCTGTGAGTTATCTTTTCACTTCCTTGATAGTATTCTTTGAAACATAAAAGTCTTCAATTTGGGTACGTTTCAATTTTTTTTTCTTTCGTTGCTTGTGCTTTTGATATAATATCTAAGAAACCATTGCCCAACCCAACAGCATGAAGATTTATTCCTGTGTTTTCTTTTAAGAGTTTTCTAGCTTTAGCCCTGGTTGTATATGGTGTGAGGTGGTGCTCCAACTTCATTCTTTCACATGAGAATTTCACGCTGTGTTTGTCCTGGCACTATTTGTTGAAAAGACTTCTTCTTTCCTCCATAAATTATCTTGGTACCATTGTCAAAAACCATTTGACCATAAATGTATGGGTTTATTTCTGTACTCTTCGATTGATCTATATGTGTGTTCTTATGCAGTACCACACTATCTTGATCATTGTAGTTTTGTAGTAATTTTGAAGTCAGCAAGTGTGAGTCCTCCAGCTTTGTTCTTTCTCACGATTATTTGGCCATTCTGGGTCCTTTGCATTTCCGTATGAATTATGGGATCAGCTTGTCCACTTCTGCAATAGAGCAAGATAGGATTTTAATAAGCATTATGCTGACCGTAGATGAATTTGGTGAATATTGCTATCTCAATAATAATATGTCTTCCAATCTATGAACATGGGATGTCTCCCCATTTATTTAGATCTTTTTTAAACTCTTTCAACAGTATTTTGTAATTTTCAGTGCATAAGTCTTGAACTTCTTTTGTTAAACTTATTCCTAAGTATTTGGCTCTTTTTGATGCTGTAGTAAATGTAATTGTTTCCTTAATTTTGTTTTCAGGTTGTTCATTACTGATGCACAGAAATTCAGTTGACTTCTATATGTTAATCTTGTATCCTGCAACCTTACTGAACTTGATTAGTTGTAATAGTTTTTAAGCGTATTCCTTAGATTTTTCTATATGCAAGATCATGTCACCTAAAAATAATTTCTTATTCTTACCTAATTGCCCTGACTAGAACCTCCAGGACAGTTCTAAATAAAAGTGACGACCATGGACATCCTTGTCCTGTTCCTGATCTTAGCAGGACAACATTCAGCCTTTCACCATTAAGTATGATACTAGCTGTGGGTTTTTTGTAAATGCCTTCTATCAAATTGAGGAAGTTCCCACCTGTTTGTAAGTTGTTGAGTGTTATTATCAAGGATGTTGGATTTTGTCAAATAGTTTTTCTGTGTATTTGAGTTGATCATTTGGTTTTTGCTTTTGTTTTACATTTTTGGATTTTAAAACAAACTAGCATTTCTGGTGTAAGCCCCAACTGGTCATGTTTATAGTCGTTATTATATGTTGCTAGATTTGTTTTGCTAGTATTTTCTTAAGTATTTTTGTACCTGTATTCATAAGGGACATTGGTCCGCAGTTTTCTTGGGATGTCTGTCTGGTTTTGGCATCAGAGTAATACTTACTGTATAGATTAAGGAAGGGTTCCTCTTGTTTTTTGTTTTGTTTTGTTTTGATTTGATTTGAAAGAGTTTGTAAAGGATTGGTATTAATTCTTCTTTAAATGTTTGGTAGAATTACCAGTAATTGTTGGCCACACTTTTCATTGTGGGGAGTTTTAAATTTTTTCAACCTGTTTACTTGTTGTAGATTTTTTCACATTTTCTCTTTCTTCTTGTGTCAATTTAGGTGATTTTTTTTTTNCTGTCACCAGCTGAGCTATCCTGCCACCTGTTGGCAGCTCAGTGGCAACTAAGCTCAGGCGCAGCTCACTGGCCCATGTGGGAATCAAACCGGCAATCCTGTTGCTCAGAGCTCGCGCTCTTAACCAGCTGTGCTACCTGGCCAGCCCCCCATTTGATTTTCTTATGTTACCTTCTTGGGATAAATTTCACTTGATCATACCGTTAGATTCAATTTGCTAATATTTTATTAAGGATTTTTTTCATCTATATTCATAAGGGTTATTGGTGTGTAATTTGATCTAAAGGGAGTCTCTTATAGGCAGCTTATAGTTGGATCATATTTTTAATCCATTCTTCCAGTCTTTGTCTTGTGATTGAAAAGCTTAATTAATTTACATTTAAATTAGTTACTGATAAGGAGACACTTCTGCCATTTTGGTGCTTGTTTTCTATATGCCTTATAGCCGTTTGTCCCTCGTTTTCTGCATTACTGTCTTTTGTGTTTAGTTGATTTTGTGTAGCAAAACATTTTGATTTCCTCTCATTTTGTTGTGTGTGTATATTCCATAGCGGTTTTCTTTGTTGGTACCATGAGGATTAGCATCCTAACGTTATAACAACCTAATTTGAATTTATACCAATTTAACATCAATTATATACAAAAACTCTGCCCCTATACAGTTCCATTCCACCTGCTTTCTGTTTGATGTCACCGATTATATCTTTATACATTGTGTGCTCAATAACAAATTAATAATTGTTTTTTAATATATTTATCTTCTAAAGCAAATAGAAAATAAGAAGTGGTGTTACAAACCAAAATTACAATAATACTAGCTTTTATAGTTGTCCACATATTTGCCTATATTAGAGATCTTTATTTCTTCATATTGTTTCCAGTTACTGTCTGGCTTTCATTTCAACCTGCAGGACTTCTTTTCAGCATCTAGTGGTAACAAACCTTTTCAGTTTTTGTTTATCTGGGAAAGTCTTAATTTCTTCCTTTTTTTTTTTTTTAATTTAGCTGAGCCATCCTGCTACCTGTTGGCAGCTTAGCGGCAGCTCAGCTTGGGCTGGACTCGAACCGCTGTTGCTCAGAGCTCACACTCTTGAGCGAGCTCTTACCCAACTGAGCCATTCGGCCGGCCCCTTCTTCCTTATTTTTTGAAGGACAGTTTTTCTGGATAATAACATTCTCAATTGATATGCCTTGCTGGGGATTTTTGTTTTGTTTTTATTATTGTTGTATGCTGTCTCTGTGCCATGGATCAGATGAGGTGAAAGCTTCAGACTCGCGTCTTTTCTGAGGTTCCTTCTTTTCCTGAGCAAGCACACTGGCTTTCTAATATACCGTGTAGATGCAGTTGTTTTTTACTGTAAAAGAGAAACAACAATGCTTATCCTCTAAATCTCCCTGGAAGCTGCTTCAGCTGGTGGGGATTGTAAAAATGGCAGTCAACCTTTACCTGCATGGCAACCATCAGAAGCTGCAATCCATAATCAGAAAAGAGATATTAATATTTCAAGGACAAGGTCCCTATTGCCAACCCTGCCTCCAGCAAGCGGCACCAAAACCACAGATTGCTGCCCCTATAGCTGCCTGTCATGGGGCCGAGACTAAAGGCTGAAACTGACCAATATTAACCACAATTTGCCAGCCAAACCTTGCCCTGGTACCTACAAACATTCAAGTAG